ATTGATTGGTTCTTTCCTGTACCAAAAACAAAAGGGACTTTTAGAATATGGATCAACTGATCAAGGGGGTGGCCTATTGCGCGATGAGCTGGAGTAACAGCCTTGCGAACCAAGGTTGGTTCAAATCCCAACAAAGGCGTAACTAGGTAATTTCTTCTCATTTGTCTAAGCAACTTAGAGTTGCCCAGTACATGTGTTGGTCAGTCGTTTGAGGTGCGTGCAAACTAACCATGATACCATTATTATTTGATATAAAGGACATCTAGAATATGAAATAGTGCCTGGAGATTGCACAGAAATGCATGACTTTTATGTGTGTCACAGAACTCAGAAGGATTTTAACAGACAAGGAGGGGATTGGTAGGTTTATATCGTCGTTTTTTTTTCTTCTTGCCAGCCTCTGCAACCAGTTTTAGCTGAAGTGGTAGTCTAACTGGATTATGGATATGGATATGGATATGTTGCGTCTGTCGAGATAAAGCATCTCTTTCCTATTGATCTCCATATGTCAAGAAGTGTTCATCATCTGCTGATATTAATCTCTGTTTTTTTAGCTGTAGCATCTCTGTGTATCGTCCATTTGACACTAGAGCACATAAACCTTGAATGTCCTTCTGTGCGTGTGTAGTTGTTTACTTAAAGCTTTGATTTCGGAACAATCCTGTCATAGCCATTAGTTTTCAAGGTAATAAGCTGATATCGCTCGTGTCTATTGAAAGAGATGCACACACTTGATGGTTTTCAGCTCGCTTTCACATTAAACAATTGTGACATTGGTGTCTCCGATTTGGTATCTGTAGTTACATACTTAAATTGAGAAAAACTTGGACTCATTACGACTTTACTGCTGCACCTGCCTAACTTTTCTAAAGCTTATAATTCCTTTATTCTGAAGGAGAGCCTGATAAAGTTGTTGCCATGTGATAAAGAGGTCCCAGGGTTTAAAGCCTTGAAAAAAACAGCCTCTGGCAGAAATGCAAGGCAAGACTACATACAATAGGCTCTTGCGGTCGGCCCCTCCCCAGACCGACCCTGTGCATAGCGGGAGCTTTAGTGTATTGGGCTGACTTTTTTTTTTCATCGCAAATGAGGTCAAAAGTTCATGTCCTTTGTGCATCTAGTTCCATGTATGGCTTCTCAAAATTAGCACAGTTGAGGATGGTTGGTTGCAAACAGGACGAATATGTGAATGATTTGGCTGTTGGGAAACCACATTTTATGGTTGCATTCTTGTGGTTTGGCTGTGAATGATTGCTTCCCTTCACACTAATGCATGCTTAGGATGTGTTCCATTGTGAAATCTTTTCATTTTTTTTCTAGAGTTGAGCTGCGAAAAACACGTTTGACGTCAAACAAAAAGGTGTTATCACCTCAAATTACTCACCAAAGTAAAAAAAAGAAAAACTTCAATTTGTATTTATGGGTAATTACAACTTCAATTCTTGATATTATTTTTCACTTTAAAATAAAAGCTGTTTTTTTTTCAAATTATAAATGAAACATGACCAAATGCCCTCGACGGGTAATTGTTTTGTTGTTGGTGGTGGGGTTAGTTTGTTTTGTTGTTTTTGTTTGTTGTGGAAGATGGTGCACCATTGATTTCAACCTTTTCTTTGCTTAGAGGAATCAACTTGTACTAGTTCTAGGTTGTGTTAGATATGGTTGAACACATTTTTTGTTTTTCATATTCGGTTGGTTAAATATTTGAAAAACATTTTCCTAAAGTAAGGAAAATTAAGTTCATTCCACAAGTGACATCATGTGTTGATTGTATCTTCTTAGGGGTGTTTACGGGTCGGTTTAGGTTGGTTATTGGTCAAAATCAAAATTAAAATCAAATCAAATTAAATATAATATACATTTATCTATTTGGTTGTTATCGATTTCGGTTCGGCTTGATTCGGTTATTAATCATACACAAACTAAAAGAAACAATTCATTCAAAATGTGAAAAATATGACAACAATACATTCAAAACGAAAAATAGTTAGAATAATTGATATTACAAAATTTTCGATCACTAAATTTACTATGAATAAAACTTCAAATTCACTATTTTGACCTAGAAAGAAGAGACAATGACATTTTCAGTCCCGTAAATATTGTCATAGACACCCATAGGCCATATACATGAAACCAATAAGATAAATGTTCTCACCTTGGGGATATTTGCTTTCATAAGTAAATTATAAATAACTTTGATGAAAACAAGTATAAGATCTTTAAAATTATTTATAAAAATAATATATTATGTGTTAACAATAAAATATATGTATATAATTTATCGGTTTGATTTAGTTATTTCTTTAGTTTTTTCGAACAAAATCATAACTAAATCAAATACTATTGATTTTTAAAAAGGGAAAAAGGACAATTATACCCCCGAACTATCGTAACTGGTATGCAGATACCCTCCGTCATACTTTTGGGACATTGGTTCCCCTGCCGTTCAAAAACTAAAGCATATATGCCCACGTGTCATAATCTTATCCACCGATCGATAATTATTAAATATTGAATCGACGGATAAGATTGCGCCACGTGTCCCTATTTAGTTTTCCGTTAGAGTGAAGGGCATATATGCATTAGTTTTTGGATGACAGGAGCACCAATGTCCCAAAAGTATGACAAAGGGTATCTGCATACCATTTACAATAGTTCGGGGGTATTTTTGTCCTTTTTCCCTTTTAAAAATATAAAACCAAATCAAATCAAATCGATTTGGTTCATTCTTGATTTAGATCGATTTTTATCCAAACTGTGAACACCCCTATATCCTCCATGTTCTTTAATACATCTCATCTTCACCCTACCCTTCATTCCCTACCACTCATCTATCTCACATCATATTTGTTTAGATTATATACGAATATTTTTTATTACATATTGAACACAAAAATTAACTAAGAAATTTATTTTCTTTCGTACCGAACACACCCCTAACTCTACTCCCTTCCTCTTTCCTCCGATAAGTGATACTTCGATAAATATGTATATGCATATAAGCATAATATCAATAGCAATTTATAGCGATGTTTTATATAAACAGTAATCGATTCAAATGCTTCATAACTTTTTTCATATAAATAAAAAAGCAGATTTACACACATTAATAGTTTTTTGGCCAATATAACATGAAAAAATTGAAAAATATTTTCTAAATACGAATGGAGAGAAACCTCTTCAAATATTTACATTATTTCCTGTATTGCAATAGCCAATAGCTTTCTATATCACCTAGAATTTCCTTTTATTCTTGATTTTTTTAAATATTTAATAGTATATCTTTTTTCGCAATTATGAATCCATCTATGAGTTTTAAAATGTATTATTCTAAATTCTAATATTTATTTAAGAGTTAATATCTCAAAAGGACGTTATCATATTAACGATCGATCTGTATCTCATAGACATTCTAATGATAAAATTAATGACTACGTGACTTTATATGAAGTCATGAGCAATAGCAAAGTCAAATCGTCGTCTATAGGCGAAGGACGAAAGCTCATCCTAAATTGTAATATTTCTTATCTAAACACCTATGCAGTACCAAGAGGCATAGAGAGGGAGCTAAATCTATTTATATTATGTATGTATATATATGTATAAGGGCTAGAAAATAGAGAGGAAAAAAATACATTTATGTAACAATTCACATTCATTTTTAATTTCTTTTGCTGGAAAACTGAATTAAAAAGACATAATTCATATTGCCCACAACAATCATTTTATGTATGTGTTAATATTCAAAATTTTCAACCGAGTTTATAATTATTGAATAAATTTTGTTCTGATGGACAATTGAGCTGTTACTATAAAAATATGAGTTTTCAACTGAATTTACTATTATAAAAAAATTATTGAATTTGAAAAATAAGAAAAAAGAAATCTATCAAGTTTAGATAAGCCAAGAAGAAAATAAATAAATAAATTGATTTATGGTTACAATTTTGTTAGTTTTTTAGTTAAATTTTCTTATTGTGTTTACTGTTATAACAAAATTTAATAGTAACTTTGAACTAGATTTTTTTGAATTATTATTTAATTTATTTATCTGATTTTGATTTAACACTTAATTCAAGAAAACAAAGAAAATTTTGAATCTTCTCAAGTTAAAATAGTAAAATGTATCAAATATTTTTTACATTCGTATAATTTTAAATATGATGTGAAAAATTAAAATTTAAAACTATAAAAAAATAAAAATTACTCATATCTTTTAAGAACAAACTGAAACATTCCGTATAAACAACAATAACAACATATTCATTTAATGGAGTCTCAATAGAATATACACAATTCTTATTATTACATAGAGAGTCGACTCAAGTGCATCAAACCCAAACACGAGAAAGAAAATCCAAACATGAGTGGGAATCATAAAAAAAAGTAGTGGCAGAGAGTGGTTCCCTTTTCAGGCAGAAAATCCAAAAAAGAAAAGAAAAGAAAAGACTTAAATCCTAAAATATTTTCTCTGTGCTGCTGTGGTCTCATGTAGGGATGTGGAGCATCCTGTGTAGACAACCAAACGTTAATTAGTTACAGCAAATTTCAGTTGATTTAATTGCTTGTGCCACTCTTTGAGTATTTAAAGGTGTTTTGGTAAAGCCCCAACAAAAGTATATGCTTAAAGACTCTATTTTTAGCTGACCATTTTTCTTGATTTGGCTGAATGATTGACAATCAAGAAGCATAAGTTGAATAATTTCTTCATAAGCTTTTCGTGCTTCTTCACATGGAGGAATCTTGGATTGGTACAAGGTAGTTCAAGTGGGTATCACCTTTTACCTTTTCTTTTTGTTGAATTTGGTGGATTCTTGCTGTAACTTGTCTTTTCTTTATCACCTTATTTTGGTACTATATTTATTCTGGATAAAGGTGAGACCTTTTGGAGTTTTTGTCTGGTTTTCAATTTTTTGTTGTTACATTTCAGATTCTTGATTCTTGATTCTTCTAGGCTTTTACTAATAACATAGGGGAGTTTTTCCATCCCCAATTTTGATATCTTCTTGTTGATTATTAAGAATCAATACAAAAGATAGCTAGAGAAACTGAAATTCAAAGAGGATATAGAGAGATGTCTTCTAGTTCTACAACAAACAGGACGAATTGCTCAAGGGGCAGTTCAGCTAGATCTAGGCATGGTGCTAGAGTTATTGCTCAGACTTCAGTTGATGCAAAGCTCCATGTGGAGTTTGAGGAGTCTGAGCAACAGTTTGATTACTCTAGTTCAGTTAACTTGTCTAATTCCACTAGCAATCTTCCATCTTCAACTGTATCTAATTATCTCCAGAAAATGCAAAGGGGAAGTCTAATTCAGCCGTTTGGATGTATGATTGCTATCGATGAGCACAACTTTGCTGTCATAGCGTATAGCGAAAATGCACCAGAAATGTTGGACTTGACACCTCATGCTGTTCCAAGCATCGAACAGCAAGAGGCTCTGACATTTGGAACTGATGTCAGGAAACTGTTTCGATCTGCAGGTGCTTCTGCCCTTGAAAAAGCAGCCAGCTTTGGAGAACTTAGTTTGCTAAATCCTATTTTGGTTCATTGTAAAAACTCAGGGAAGCCTTTCTATGCGATTCTGCACCGCATTGATGTTGGATTAGTAATAGAGTTGGAGCCTGTGGATCCAGATGAGGTCCCTGTAACTACAGCAGGAGCTATAAAATCTTATAAGCTAGCAGCTAAAGCCATTGGAAAATTGCAATCTCTGCCAAGCGGGGATATATCATTGTTATGTGATGTATTAGTTAGAGAAGTGAGTCATTTGACAGGCTATGATCGTGTTATGGTTTATAAATTCCACGAGGATGAACACGGGGAAGTAGTTGCTGAATGTCGTATGCCTGAACTAGAACCTTATCTTGGCTTGCATTACCCTGCTACAGATATACCACAAGCTTCAAGATTTCTCTTCATGAAGAATAAGGTTAGGATGATATGTGATTGCTTAGCTCCACCAATTAGGGTGATTCAAGACCCAAGATTGGCTCAGTCGCTGAGCCTTGGTGGATCCACATTAAGAGCTCCCCATGGCTGTCATGCACAATACATGACCAATATGGGTACTGTTGCATCTATGGCGATGTCTGTGATGATTAGTGAGGAAGATGATGAGTTGGATAGTGACCAGCAAGTGGGAAGAAAACTGTGGGGTTTGGTAGTTTGCCATCACAGTTGCCCTAGATTTCTTTCTTTTCCTTTGAGGTACGCGTGTGAGTTCTTGCTACAAGTTTTCAGTGTTCAGATCAATAAAGAAGTGCAAATGGCAGCTCAACTTAAGGAAAAACAGATACTGCAAACTCAAACTGTTCTGTGTGACATGCTTCTAAGAGATGCTCCCATGGGGATTGTTACTCAGTCTCCTAATGTTATGGACCTTGTAAAGTGTGACGGGGCTGCACTTTATTATAGGAACAAACTTTGGTTGCATGGTGTTACCCCTACGGAGTCCCAAATCAGAGATATAGCTGAATGGCTTAATGAATCTCATGGTGATAGTACAGGTTTAAACACTGATAGCCTCATGGAAGCTGGCTGCCCAGGTGCTTCTGTGCTCGGTGATGCGGTATGTGGAATGGCTGCTATAAAAATAACTTCAAAAGATTTCCTCTTCTGGTTCCGCTCCCACACAGCTAAAGAGATCAAGTGGGGTGGTGCAAAACATCTTCCTGGAGACAAGGATGACGGAAGAAAAATGCACCCAAGGTCATCATTTAAAGCCTTTCTGGAGGTTGTTAAGCGGCGGAGCCTGCCTTGGGAAGATGTGGAAATGGATGCCATCCATTCCCTGCAGCTGATATTGCGAGGATCTTTGCAAGATGAGGCTGCTGATTGTTCTAAAATGATTGTGAATGTCCCTGCTGTAAATACCAGTATAGATAGAGTGGATGAACTTCATATTGTCACAAACGGAATGGTTCGTCTCATTGAGACAGCATCATTACCCATTTTGGCTGTTGATGCTTCAGGCCGTATCAATGGATGGAACTCTAAAGTTTCTGAACTAACTGGATTACCGGTAGAGAATGCTATAGGTGTACCTTTGGTTGATTTGGTTATTGATGGTACAACAAACACAATTAAAGGTGTTCTCTCCCTGGCTTTGCAAGGTGATATTCTGGTTATCCTTGTCATTTACTTTGTTAGTTCAATATTTGCAATATGTGTAGATGAACGTACCTTGTGAAAAAAACAAAAGATTGTTTCATGCCACTTTATCTATTTTTCCTTTCTTAAATTACAACTTATGCACGAGCTGCATCGGCTATGTCAAATTGTTTATTTATCAATCCTAGCAACATTTAAAAAAAAAAAATCCTAGCATATTTGGTCTCATTTTGAGTTTGTTTCCTCGTGTATAAAGACCTCTGACATGAAGCTCTAAAAAGAACAAAGGAAATGTCAAAAACTGTAGTGGAATTCAATGAACTGTTTTGGACATTGCTGGTCTTTCACATTTTTGGCCCCTCATGCAGTCTGAAACTCGATTTTGATATGCTTTACTCGATTTTGACATGCAGTCTGGTATTTCGACCTCAATGCTGGATATTATCACATTATTTGTTGTTGCTACTTTTCTCTTCTCCATTATTTTCAGCATGACTTCTCTACTGTATTTCCCTTCCATACTTGATTTTGATATGCTTTACTTGTGCCGAGGGTCTATTTTTTTTTTTTGATGACAAGGGAAACCCGCAGCCGCTACCCTTTGGGTGCACACAGGATAAAACCCCCGCTCCTATGCAATAGCTCGCAAACCACATAGGAGAGGTAACCCGCACTAGGCAAGCCCGGTGCGATGAGCTCGACCCAGAAGGCAAACCCCTTGCTTTCGCTGGCAAGGGGTTTCGAACTTAGACCTCCAACATGGAAGTCCCAAGCCCAAACCACTGGGCCACCCCGAAGGGTATTATTTGTTGTTGTGCCGAGGGTCTATTTGAAACAACCTCTCTACCTTCACAAGGTAGGGATAAGGTAGCGTATGCACCACCCTCCCTAAACCCCACTTGTGGGATTACACTATGTATGTTATTGTTGTTGTTCTTGTTAGGATCCCCATTCAGGGTATTTCCCTCTCCCTTCCTGTCTTTTTTCTCTGGTATTGCTACTTGACATCCATGCAATAACTTCTGTGCTTATTTTGTTCTTTTCGATTTTTTTCCTTGAAAATGATTCTATTTTGATATTTAAATTGCAGGCAAGGAGGAGAAAAATGTAGAAATCAAACTTAGAACACTTGGTCCTCAAGAAAAGGTCGGGTCAATTACAATAGTGGCTAATGCCTGCTGTAGTCGAGATGTTAGACAAAACATTGTTGGAGTTTGCTTTATTGGAAAAGATGTTACTGGGCTAAAGCTGATTAAGGACAAATATAGTCGCATTCAAGGTGATTATGTTGGAATTATCCGCAGTCCATCTCCTTTAATTCCTCCAATTTTTGTGATGGATGAACATGGAAGATGTGTGGAATGGAATGATGCTATGCACAAGTTTACTGGGTCGAAGAGGGAGGAGGTCATTAATCAAATGCTTCTTGGTGAAGTTTTCACAGTCAATAGCTTCGGTTGCAGGGTTAAAGATCAAGACACATTGACCCAGCTCACGATATTATTGAATAGAGTAATTGCTGGTGGGGAAGGTGAGAAATTGTTTTTCGGGTTATTTAATAAACAGGGTAAGTATATTGAAGCCTTAATCTCTGCAAATAAAAGGGTTGATGACAATGGTCGGGTAACTGGGGTCTTGTGCTTCCTGCATGTTCCTAGTCCAGAACTTCAATATGCAATGCATGTGCAAAAGCTGTCAGAACAAGCTGCTAAAAATAGTCTTAAAAAGTTGGCTTATGTTCGACTTGAACTAAAAAACCCTTTAAATGGAATAAACTGCATACAGAATCTGCTGAAATCTTCTGATTTAAGCAAGGATCAAAGGCAATTGCTGAAGACAAGCACAATGTGTCAAGAACAACTAGCCAAGATCATTGATGACACTGATATTGAGAGTATTGAGGAATGGTATGATAATCTGACCTGCATTTATTGTTATACCTTTTATGTAAAGAAGAAATATCTGTTTTATGCTCAGGCCATTGCACTAGTATTTCTGCTCATCTGGATCATAGCTGTAGCTTCTATGTACTTGCAAAGAGCTACTCTGCCTGCCTGTTTTACACAAAGTGTGTGCCTGGCATTTTGGGAGATTGCTAAGGAAGTTCCTTTTTTTCCGTTTTGTAGAGATTGCTAAGGAAGCTGATGCATCAGTTCTTCTGTTCTTTGCTTTCAAAAGTCTTTGATGTCTTTCTCTCTTCTTGATGTTAGTTTATGTATCTCTATGGTGAATGGCGGGGATGGATTGAAACAAATGAAGAATGGGTTGCTTAGAAGTTCCCTTAGGTTATCCAAAAGGCTAATGATCCACAATTTATGCTATGTGGTCACTATTACGCTTAAGGCTCTTACCCTGTCAGGAAAATAGGGAAAAGAAGAGAAGAGTCAAAGTACAAGAAGGGAAAGTAGGAAAGAAAATAGTGGGCTTAGAAATGAAATTGTCCTGCTCTCTGGTTTTCAAACTGAGAATTAGAGAGAGCCCAACTGTACAATAAACTATGTTGCGTGGGCACTTCAAAATTCGTGTGCGACACCTGTGTCGAGTGTCGACATGACATGGGTGTGGGTGTAGTGTGGGATTAATACCTGATTTGGTCAACTTACCTTGGATACTTTGACTACATTCTCTGACCGAGAAGTATAGATTGATTGGATATATATATTTGTCTATGAAAATGCTTTTCTATTATGCAAGGTACCGTTTGAGTAAAATTTTGGTGTTTATAAAGAATATGAAGTTAGATTAATTTAAGTTCTATAACTTTAACTAATCAAAATCTATAGTTTATATGTCGTAATATACATTTATTGGTCATATCCCAATACCCATATCTGCACTCGGATCATACCCCTGAATTCTAAAATTTTTGTGATGAAGAATCCGACCTCTAATCTGCACCCATATTAAATACCCACACCGTGTCCGAGCAACATAGAAGACAACTACACAAAAAGCTTCAATCTAGTTGGGGCTGACTGTATGAACCCTCAGCATCATAAATGCTCTATTTGGGTCCATAATATTTTGATATTCCGTACTTAAGGATTATCACACAGGGAGTCTCTACTATACTCTAGTAGTTCTATCCTTATTATACTAAGATTCTTCTAGTTGGTATCACCTATATGGATTTTCAGCTTCCATTTTTACTAGATTTGGCTGGATCCTGATATATTCTAAAAAAAATTTAGATGACTTTTTTAAGTAAACTTTTTTCGATGTGATTTTAGGTCTACCTCTTCCTCTTTCAACACGTTCATATTCATCATATTTTCACATCTGAGAACTGGTGCATTTGGAGGCCTATGTAACATGTGGTCAAACTATTTCAAACAACATTCTCTCAGTCTATCCTCTATATGTGCTACTTGCACTTGTAGGTGGTTGTGATAATTTCTGATCTTATCTAATATTGTATGACCGAACATCCATTTTAATTTGCATCTCTGTGACACTCATTTTGTGGATATTTATTATCTTTATATATTTTTGGACTGGTCCTGATCATTGCAATATTTTTTTCAGCTATATGGAAATGAACTCTTGTGAGTTCAATCTTGGAGAAGTTGTTACAGTGGTCATTAATCAAGTTATGATTCTTAGTCAGGAGCGCAAGGTTCAGGTCACATGGGACTCGCCTGTCGAAGTATCACAGCTGTACCTGATTGGTGACAATTTGAGGCTTCAACAAGTCCTTTCTGACTTTTTGACCACAGCTATCCTCTTTACTCCCTTTGAAGACTCCTCTGTGCATTTCAGAGTAATTCCAAGGAAGGAACGTATAGGGACGAAGATGTACGTCATGCATCTTGAATTTCGGTAATCATTCTCTTATCACTCAGATTTGGATTTATTGATTTTTTTGCATGCAAGTCTTTTGTCAAAATGAAGTCTATGGGCTTGTTTTAGATTGTGAACTAACTACTGCTAGTTATCTCAACGTAATCCCAGCTATGTTCTCAAGATTGTGATTACACTCCATGCTTCTTAGTGTACATCTTTTGCTGTTTTATTGGAAAACACGATTTTTTTAAAGTATGATTTGTGTGGCTTAAAATGTTTAAACAGAGTAAATTACAGAAATTTGACTTGTATGAGTACTAATCCAAATGTAGAGGCTTTAGATTCTGTGACAAAGTGCGCAAGTTCCATTCTTCATTTCCTCAAAGCTATTTTTTCTCTAATGATATCTGAAGAAAGCTCCTCCGCTTTAAACATGGGAGACCATTAAGTGAACATGTAAATTCTCTTCAATTGGAGGTACCGATGCATATAATGTACCCGCAAACCATGCTGAAGCTGAAAAATGCTAAGTAAAGCTTTCTGAGCTGCTGAAACGGCACTAAAATGCCCTATTGCGTGTTAATCTTTTATCTCTCTTGTAATACGGGGTTAAAATAATAAATGTATTACATAAGGCTTGGGAGATTAGAGGGGACACAAATAGTATGAAGACTAGGACAACTAATTGTATTACGGAAGCAACTAGATAAGTGGGGTTTCCAAGGGTAACTTTGGTGGACATAGAGTGGCTGGTGGTGGAATTGAGAGGTCCAAGAAAAAGTGGAATTCAAAAAAGTCGCTTACATGAAGTTAGCGGAGAGCAATAAAGAGGAGGAAAAGAGGGCAAATAGGGAGAGGCACAAGACTTGAAGGAAGGAAGCAGGGATAGCAGTTATGACGGCTAAAATGGCAACATTTGAACACGTGTATGAACTAAAGGACAAAGATGAGGAAAAGAAGTTGTATAGGCTTGCCAAGGCGAGAGAAGGAGAGCTCGCGACCTAGACCAAGTGAGGTGCATTAAAGACAAGAATGAAAAAATATTGGTGGAAGAGACGTACATTAAACACATATAGCAGGATAATTTCATACTCTTAATGTAGAGGGACAAGAATATTGTGTCGGGTGATTTAGAGTACTTCGAGAGCCATCAAGATTTTGGATATTGTAGGCGTATAAAGTTTGGGGTGGTTAAGGGGGAAATTGCAATTCGTAAGATGAGAGGGGGAAGAGTGATTTGGCCAAGATGAGATTCCGATGAAATTTTGGAACAACGCAGGCAAAATAGGTATGTAGTGGTTGACTTAGTTGTTTAATGTTACTTTTAGGAAGACTAAAATACCCGGAGAATGGATGTGAGATATAATGATCTCGTTGTACAAGAACAAGAGTGATACTCAAAATTGCAACAACCATATGGGTATCAAACTATTAGGCCACACTATGGTGTTTGGGAGAGAGTGGTTGAGATGAAGATTAGGAGGGATGTGTCTATTTTCGAGAACCAATTCAAATTCATGCCAGCATGATCAACTATGGAAGTCATTCATCTTTTAAGGAGATTGTTGGAGTAGTATAGAGATAGAAAAAGAGACTTACATATGATGTTTATTGACCTAGAAAAGACATATGACAAAGTCCCAAGGGAGGCTTTATGGTGATGCTTGGAGTTTTGAGATGTACATGTGGCATATATTAGAGTGATTAAGGATGGACATGTACAATGAAGCCAAGAACAGAGTGAGAACAGTCGGAGAAACACTTCCCAATTGAGATGGGGTTGCACCAGGCATCAATTCTTAGCCCATTGTTTTTTGCATTGGTGATGGATGAATTGATACGACATATTTTGGGGAAAGTACCATGGTGTATGTTATTTACTGATGATATAGTATTGATTGACGCGACATGTGGGGAAGTTAATTGTAGACCGGAGGTTTGGAGACAGACCTATAGTTGTTTTCAGGTTGAGCAGAATCAAAATAGAGTACACGAAGTTCAAGTTCAGTGACGCGTCACATGTGGCGGATGTGGAAGTGAGAATTGATACACAAGTCATTCCCAATAGAGGAAGTTTCAAGTATCATGGGTCAGTAATCTAAGGAAATGGGGAGATCAATGATGATGTCACACATCGTATTGGAGCTAGGCGGATGAAATGGAGGCTCACACATGGTGTCCTATGTGATAAAAATGTACCACCTTGACTTAACGACAAGTGTTATAGAATGGCTGTTAGACCAACTATATTGTATGGAGCAAAGTGTTGGCCAATCAAGAACTCACATCCAAAACATGAAATTAATGAAAATGGGGATGGTTACATGAATGTTTGGGAACACTAGGAGAGACAAAATTAGGAATGAGGATATACGGGGGCAAGGCGGGAGTGGCCTTCGTGGTGGACAATATGCGGGAAGCGAGACCGTGATGTTCATGCATATGAAGAGGAAGAACATAAATGCTCTAATGAGGAGGTGCGGGAGGTTGACAATGATAGCCTGATAGGTCTAAGGAGGGGTAGAGATGGATCTTGGAAGAACTGGGGAGAGGTGATTAGACAATATATGACACATTTTTAGCTCACTGATCCTATATAAGAGAAAATGGAGGTCGAGGATTAGAGTAGAAGGTCTATTGGTAATCAAGTGATTTCTCTCTTTCTTGTGGGAGAGCATCGTATTCTTCAATTTTATCACCATTGTTGTTTATGTTACTTTGGTTATTTTTACTATTTTTCTCTGTCAAATCTCAAACTTTTCTTTTCTTTGATATTTTCAGCATAGCTTGTTTAACTCTAGTATTTTTCAAACTTGTTTTGAAAAACACTTTTCTTGAGCCGAGAGTCTTTTGCAAATAATCTCTCTACCCCTCTATGATAGGGGTGGTTTGCCTACACCGCACTTGTGGGGATCACACTAGGTATGTTGTTGTTGTAGTATCAAACAAGGGAAATCTGCCTCAAATTTCTTTTTCCTGGTCTGTTAGAATTTACTTAGAAGGCTAGAAGTAGCAGTGCAGTGCTCGATTAGGTTTTTAGCAGTTTTCACTGATTCTGAGATTTCAAATGTTGGAACTCTTTGGAGTGATCCTTTTCTGTCACCCTTTAGCATAAGAGTAATACATTGCATATATTATTGTAGTAACCAACATTTTCTTCAAGTTAAAACGAGGGGATGGAAAGAGAAGGGGCAAATTGAGATTACCCTCCAGAAAAGAAGGAAGAAAGGAAAAATAAATATAAAATATCTCAATTTATCCAAATTTTATAGAGCTGCATTTTTTTTTTGGTAATGACTGTGAACTATTACCATTGACAACCAAGAAAGTAAAACAAACTAAAGAGCACCTAGGACTACAATCACCTTCTAGGAAGGGTACTATAGCCATCTAGGCCCCAGGCAGAACAAGAACCAAAGCAAACAAACTAATTACATAATTTCCGAAACAAAGACCGACATCTATGTGCTCTCTTTGTACTATGCAGTAACTGTAGTCTATGTTTGATCTCTTTTTGTATCTGTGTACAACAACAACAACAACAACAATATAACCATTTGAACCCACAAATCCCACTTGTGGGATTACAAGGGTATGTTGTTGTTGGTTAAATGCTAGATGCTTAAGTACTTGAAGTTGTAATCTTTTAGTCGTATATCACGATGAAATCTCTCTTCAAATAATAAGCTATCGCATACCCTTTCTCCTAATTCTTAACCAAGGTTTATGTGCGAAGTTTGAAGAGTGATCTGCTTCCACTGTACGTTAAATCTTACTATATTGCATTTCACCTCTCAGGATCACTCATCCATCCCCAGGGATACCTGACGAGCTAATTCAACATATGTTCCACTACAGTCAGAGCATATCAAGGGAAGGTCTTGCCCTATACATCAGCCAGAAACTTGTTAAAATCATGGATGGCACCGTCCAGTATCTTCGTGAGGCGGAGAGATCCTCATTCATTATATTAGTTGAATTTCCGCTGGTGGAGAAGAAGAACAACTAATAATTCCAGACATAAGTGTTCCTGACTATCCTGCTGCAGACAACATATTTTTACATGACTAGTACTAATTCACTTACTATTTCTAATGGCTCTTCATAGTTTACCTAGCGAAGAATTTCCACTGCTGATATCTTTGCTCCATCACTGGAAAAAGGCTAATTTCAGAGAATCAGCAATGTAGAAGCTGCAACATCAGTTGCTTTTCGTTGCTTCTTCTTCTTCTTGTACCTAACAGCGTGGGGCGCGGGCATCTTCATAGCCATTTAGGCATGTTGTTATTTCAGCATAACTTAGCTATCAACTGACATAATGTACAGCAACTATTAACAAGAACAACCTTTCAACATATCACTCTACTACTTCAAAGTAAAATCCACATAATCTTAATGTCAATCTTGAATTGTTTCATCTTCCCATCTTTATTGCGATGTACATATAATCAATCAACCATTTATTTTCCTAATAAAATATACCCAACCTTTTCATTCATTTTCTCCATACACGAAGTGTTTAGAAGTCATAATCATCATTTAGCATAATTGAGTTTTTGATGATTTAGTAGTGAACCAGCATGAAGATGTAATCCTGGTTGTCTAATATATGTTGTTTCTTGAAAAGGTATTTGATGTATGAAATGAAGTTTTTTGTTACTTTCTTTTTTCATCTTTTAACCAAATTAAAATTACATACTTTTGAACAAACCTAAAGATTATGTATCACATTCTAAAGATAATGGAGTTACTGGACTTGTATACATGGCAATGACATGGTTGCCTCGAATGTGGTACATCATTATTGATATACTTGTGCCTTTTTTTGGTTGGTAAAAAGCAAGTTAGTCCTATTTAGGTGTTTTAATAATTTTTTTAATATTATGTATCAATGCTAATTCTATGTCGGCAACTCCGATAATGCTAGATGTTATATTATCTTAATTAGTCTTACATAGTTCAACATTTCCTATTTCATGACCTACTCCTTCCGTTCTTTTTTAGCTGTTACTATTTTCTTTTTAATAGTCAAACGATATAAATTTTAACTAACATTTTCAAATATGTTTTTTCATCATATTGATATGAAAAAAATTACAATTTATAGTACTTTTCGTATAGTTTTTTAATATCTAAATTCTTATTTTAAAATATCAAATTAGTGCAATCTAAATTAAATTTAAAAAGTAGTCAAATTGACTCTCAAAAAGCGTAATATGACAGCTAAAAATAAATAGTGGGAATAATAACTAAAATTGTGTTAAAATTAGATGATATTGTTGTGTTTGACTAAACACGTGCTTAGTAGAATAATACATAAAATTAGGCATATACAAATTTTATAAAAATAACAGTCTCTGGAAACATGGATTTGAAGATATAAAATTAGGAATGTACAGATTTTATGAAAATAATAGGGGATAAACGTGCAAAGACTAGTGTATATATATATATATATGTATATGTATGTATGCCAACTAATTATTTGTTTCAATTTTTAGATTAATAACCATTAAATATATGATATTTCTAATCATAATAACGTGGTGCAGATATGATATACACTCATTTTTATGAGATGTCTACCCTATTATTATTCATACAAATTAGACTTCATCAAAAAACAATATAGGGTAAAAATAGAGAAACAAATAATAAGTGAAGTTCAGTAAGTACTACTAATTCTTCATTTGATCTCAACCCTTTGACTTGGAAACTTTTTTTTTTCTTCTAAAATTTATGTTAGTGATTACATTTATATGTAATCAATTTTTGTTCTTTCTTAAAGCAGAAAAAGTTTCAAGTAGAATATATACTTTAAAGGTGTTTTTATGGAAAGGATATTTTTCGAATAGGTTTACCCTTAAGAGATATTTGTTGAAAGTTGAATGGAAAAATTACTAGAATATTCAATTTAAGATTTTAATTTACATAATGTTAATTTACTCTTTTTATTTATAACATTATCATTTTAATTACAAACTTGACAACTTAATAAATATACATATCTTTATACGATTTTTTCACCTATTTTTTTAGCTTAGTGGGCTGATTTTATGTGTTTCATAATTTATTATTTTTACTTTTTTTATTTTCAATCACAACTATAATTGGTTACATTATTTTTGCCTTTTTTTTTTTTCTCTTTCTTACTTCATAAAACTACACTTCTAAATTTATTTTTTCTTTCTCTTCAATTACGTTTTTTTTTTACTTTTAGAATAATATAATGATAAAAAAAAAGAAGATATAGAATGGTATAAACTTCTTGTTTTTCTTGATATTATTTAAGTGCAAATTTGGTATATATATGGTGGTAAAATTATGAAATAAAATAGTATAAACATGTTATTTTTCTTGATATAAGTTATCTGCAGAATAATATATATATATATATATATATGGAAATTAGGATATGGAATGGCATAAACATGTTTTTTTGGATATAAATTTTTTAATATTGTATACATTATGGTGACAATTTGGTGTACATTACAATTTTTGACATATCGTATTTACTTTGGAATTCTCAATGACAATTATAGTTGAATATAATTTTTTTACTTAAAGATCCAATTTTTTTAGGATGCACGTTTCTTTCTCTCATTTTTTTGGTTGATTTTTTCAATTCTAGTGCTGATTTTTTGGGGGAGAATTTATTGCCTAATTAATAGGATTTCTACCATTTAACACATTCCTTATTTGATACAATTACTCTTGAACTTGTTCTTCTCTCTACATTTTCGTTTCAATTCTTTTATAAAAAAAAATACCAATTTAAGTTCCATTATATAAGTACCAATATATGCAAAGTAATAAAAAAAAAAAACATTTGCATACCCTAATAATAACCATTTGCATACCACAATAATTATTTATGCATACTAATTTGTATATCAATAATAGAATTCTTTTAGGTAATATTGTAAAAAAGGAAAATATGAAATCTTATTATGGTATCAATTGATGTACAATATGATTTCAATATATATATTTTTATTTGTAAATACAATTTTACTAGTATATAAATTGATTCTTTAAAACGGTATACATTGTGGTATAGAACTTGAAATTACACTAAAACTATATGACACTATGTACGAATAACATTAAAAATTTATAATATAAAAAATGTACCATATAATAATACTAACATTTGTACTATATAATATACCAACAATTATTGAATTCTACCTCATATCAAAATTGTACCATATAATATATCAACAATTATTGAATTCTACCCCATATAATATACCAATTTAATTGATATTTCGTGCCTTTTTTTTCAAATGACATTTAATACCACAAGGAAAACCAACATAAATAATAGAACTAATTACATCATATGATTAAATATGATTCTAAAAAAAAATGTTTAATAAACAACCAATAAAATTCAAATCCGTTAATAACATTCAATTAGATTATGAAAAAAAAAAGTGTTATAAAAATAAAAAAAATTAACTCAACAATGCTAATCCTCATATGGATATTTGATACAAGTTTTGATATATTTTTTTTAAATGGTATTTGCGTCACATATCACTCCTTCAATCTTAAAATTCACATACCTTCCTGCAATACATTTAAAAAAATAAATAAATAACCTACTAAACAACCGTTATAACAATCAAATTTGAAATACACAATCATATTTTTTTTACATCACCAAGAAAAAGTTATATACGAAATGGTGTATAATATGGTTAAAAATTGGTGTCCACTTCATTATTCTTATAATGAAATTCGAACACCAACTTATAACCAACTATATATATAACATTGATTTATGATTGATAAAATTGAACATGATTATATGTTACAATCCAACGGTGCATAACACCATGATTATATGATTAAGGTGTACATTATGGTGACAATTTGGTGTACATTCAATCTAATATATATATATATATTTTTTATTTTTATTTTATTTTATTTTATTTTATTTATTTTTTAAAATTAAGTCTCATTTGATCATTGATGTGCAAAAAGTTACAATTTTGAGTTTGGCATTCCAATCTAATATATAATGTATGATATACACCAAACATTTACACCACAAACTAACCAAAAGTAACTAATTTATTTATATAATAAATTTAATTAAACAATCAACTAAATGCATAATACCATTATATAATATCTATTTTTAAAAAAATTTTACACATTAATTATAGTGTACTTGAATGGTGTACATTATGGTGTATAATTTAATATGATAAATAATACATATTTTAAACCAATATTACACCATGATCTTACCAAGAATTTTATCAAATTATTTTGGATAACCAAATTAATTAAAAAGTGAGTACATTACTATTTAACATTGATTTCCATATTAATATTGTCATTAAACAGTGGTAAATTTATAGATTTCGAGTTATATTAGGTGTTAATCTTGGTTTTGATTATATTTGCAATCCTACAATTCATAATACCATAATCTACAAACCATACGAAATGTTCGTTTTAACAATTACACAAATAACATTAGTGCCATGAATGATTCATCAAAATCAATTTACAAATAATAAAATTTTCATGATTAACCACAACAAAAAAGCCTTAAAAAGAGATTTTTCAGCCACTGAAACATTTGTTTTTTTTTTTTTGAAAAATTAAACTATATAATCTTACAAAAATAAATCGGAAGTAATTTTAAAAAAACGATACATACCGGTGATATCTCATATTTGTCGTGCTGAATTAAAACGGACATGTTCTTGCTTTCAACCATTGAAACGACCTTAAACAGGAGATAAAGACTTTGTTTTTGGTTACAATACGTTGTTTTGAGATATGAGAGAGAAATATTAAGTAATGAATATTTTTGGAAGGTAACTGAATTGGAGTAAATTAAGGAATTAATATCTTATTTAATATTGAATGATGCGTTGCTTCTTCTTTTTTTTTTACCCTTATTTTAAATTATTTTTTTTTTTTTTGTAAAGATTCTATTGCTATGTTGGTGTAAAGTCAAACTATTGTTAAATAAAGGTTATTTAAGCTTAAATTGTATATTTAAGTTTTTTACCCATGAAAGAGCACAA